ACCTCCCACAATGGAGGGCCCGCTAGCTGGTGGAGAAGCGGGACGACGGCAACCGGCGCATGCAGTTAGAGCGGGAGGAGGAGCAGCGACAGCGGTGGGCACGAGAGGAGGGGCGGTTTGCGAAAAAAAACATGTTGTGTGCCTGTATAGGCTTTCAATCTTCTTAGTAAATTTTTTTTGAAACAAATAGGAGTAGGTCCGATCTCCGTGGCGAAAATTACACTCTCGTGTCTCTGCCGTATACAGTACATAGGGTATCACTGTCTGTATGTCCTTGTTTCTGGAAGAGTAAGGAACATCTTTCTGGAAGGAAAAAGAAGACCATTGTTTGCCCACATTTTCAATGGTACTGTAGGATAGTTCGCCACAAATTGCCCGTGTGTACCATCGCTCATAAACAATGACATTGTCACCAAATCAAAGCGATGTACGGGCGGCCCTTGCATCGCCATCGTATCGTTACATCGACACCACTATTACCACCCCTCGATGTTGTATCGCCATACAATAGTACGTACAAAATTGGAAATGTACCATTTATAAGACAAACTACTGTGTATATACGTGCAATCTACGCTAGGCGGCCTTGCAATCCCAGGAGGAAAAAACAAATCCGTGAGTGCTCGGAGACCGTAGAAACCAGGCTGCCGCGTAGGTCAGTCACTCGACGACAGTCAAGTGACAGCTAGATCTGGACTTTACCAGGTCAAAATCACCCCTCGCCCAATACCAAGCCGCCAGGTGCCCGTCGTGTCACCGCCACCTGCCCGGCGACGCCCGTCCGGTCGTGGAGGCGCCCCGACAGGTGGCAGTAGGAGATCGCCGCGTACACGAGGCGCCTCCTCATTGGCCTCGCCCTGCTTCCGGCGCGCTTATAAAAGAGCCCGGCAATGGCTGCTCTTGCCCACCAAATCAAGCGCTTCCTCCGCCGCTGCCCAACAGTCGCACCCGGCTCCAATTCATTCTCTTGGCAAATCGTCCAGTTCATCCCAAATTACCAGCTCTCATCCGCTTCTCTTCCTCCAAATCGTCGGCGTTTCTTGATCGACGAGGGCATGGCGACGACGGTGGACTGGCGCAGCTATAGGCCCGATCTTCCGGCGGCGATGTACCACATGGTGGACGGCAGAGACCAGGTAATGCACGCGTTCGCTCCGCCGACGGCGCAGGGCGCGGCGCCGACCATCTCCTTCTCCTTCCCCTGCCCCGGCGCGGAGCAGAGCGCCGGCCTGCTTCGTGGCGCCAGCTACCTCACTCCCGCGCAAATCCTCCAGCTCCAGTCGCAGCTCCACCACGTGCGCCGGGCGCCGGGCGCGGCCATGGCAGTGGCGGGGCAGCCCATGAAGCGGCACGGCGTTGCGGCGCTCCCGGCGCAGCCGGCGGCCAAGCTGTACCGCGGCGTGCGGCAGCGGCATTGGGGGAAGTGGGTCGCCGAGATCCGCCTGCCCCGCAACCGCACCCGCCTCTGGCTCGGCACCTTCGACACCGCCGACGAGGCCGCGCTGGCCTACGACGCCGCCGCCTTCCGGCTCCGCGGCGAGTCCGCCAGGCTCAACTTCCCCGAGCTCAGGCGCGGCGGCGAGCACCACGGCCCGCCGCTCGACGCCGCGATCGACGCCAAGCTCCGCTCCATCTGCCACGGGGAGGACCTGCCGCAGAGCCAGAGCAATGCGACGCCGGCGCCGACGCCGACCCTGACGCCGAGCTCTTTCCCGGACGTCAAGAGCGAGCCAGGCTGCTCCGTCTCCGAGAGCTCGTCGTCGGCCGACGGCGAGGTGTCCTCGTGCTCCGACGTCGTCCCGGAGATGCAGCTTCTTGATTTCTCGGAGGCTCCATGGGACGAGTCCCTGCTGCGCAAGTACCCGTCGCTCGAGATCGACTGGGACGCGATCCTTTCTTGAACCGAGTTCATGCCCGATCCACAGCTCGTTCAAAGTGATTGCTTCTGCTTTCGTTAGGCTCTTAGATAGGTTATTATGGGTTTGATCAAGTATTCTTGTGTAACATCAATCCCTGCTCTGCTTGGTTTTTGAATGGCATTGCCAGGAAGGAGGTTTTATGTAGAAATTTTAAGTATGTCATGTAGTTTGTGATTCAATAAAGATACACTTTGGTATACTTGAAATTGCTATTGGCATGCGTTTTGTACTGCAGTACTTTTTTATATTGTTCAGAATAGCATAACAGAGATGAGATGAAAGTTCTAATATAGGATGAGTTCTACAGTTGAATGGAACATGAATTAGTATAAAAGTTGCAAATTTGTTCCTAAATGCATCAACTAACCTCAGGACTATGAAGTAAAAAAAAAATCCCTTGATAGAAACTTGAAGATTTTGATGTTCTTGCACGAATTTGACTTTCAGAGACGACACTGCATGAGCCGGTTTCCACATAAATCACCCTTGCACAAATCTCTCTCAGTCTAGAGTCTTGGGGTTTGATACTTGTGGTGTCAAAAATAATTTTAATTTAGACAACATTCCACTAATTTCAAATTCATATGATGTGTACACATTGCTATATTGCCGTTAATTTTAGCATTAAGATTATGAATGCAATTTTCCTTTTTGGTAGGGATGTGTTTGCAAGGACCTGTGATAATTAAGCCTTTAGAGAACAATAAGGGACTTGACAAACAGTTTGAACATGGCTTGGGAGATGTTGGAATTCTTGCTGGTTCGGCATTGCCGCTCTTGGTTCAGGCCAGGTAGGTTTAGCTATGATGTATCCCCTGTTCGGGTCGATCGTCTCTCTGCTTCGGGCATCATGTTTGGCGGAGAGGAAGAAGCAACAAACTCACTTCATACTAGCATCAAAAGACAAGAAGGCAGTGATCTGGTAGCGTCCTATGTTTAAAGCTGAACATGAACGGGCGCTATCGGGTCTCATTAGTACGCCTGCCTGCTTTAGTGTCATGCATTTTGTAGGTAAAATTATTTTTAGCATCAAGATTTTGAATTTTCTTTTTATGTAAGGGTATGTTTGTGAGGATCTGTGATACTTAAACCTTTAGAGAACAAGAAGGTACTTCACAAACAATTTGAACCACAGTTAATTTTAAATCAAGAAAAGGAAAAACGTGAAAAGTTCCCAAGTCCCTTAAAAGCTCAAGACGAGATAACCAATCTGAGAGCGGACGTGTCGTTCTAATCTTCACACACATCGCATAGCACACATGCACTTCACCTTACTCTGGGACAGAGCATGTAAACACTAAAAAGTTGCAGGTGCAGAGAGGGGGAAAGCATCTGGATCTCTGTGTCACCGAGGTTTGAAAGGCGGAGGGAATCATGTGGGGAAGTCAGGAGTCCACGTTAGCTCAGCTCTGATCCGGCTTAATGTAATGCTAATCCAGTTCCCCAGTAGGAGAGAGGAACTAGGCTAGCTCCTCCCCTGACCCCTGGTTCAGTGTATGTTCCTCAGTGTAATTGTCGTTTCCATCAATCAGACAATGGCTTGTAGTATCCGGGTGTTAGAGGGATGATGCATGAACCTTGAGAAATGGACCGGTGAAGACGACAGATTAGCACCATCTTTGATGCATGAGAGGGGGTGAGTTAACATGGGTTCAGTCTTGTTCGTAGTAGCATCAGAAAGCAGTTGAAGGAACAGGCACATCTATACAATAGGCTTGTGGGGTGGGGCTTGTGTTGTCCTTCCAATATTGGCCAACCATGAGGAGCATTTTACAGCCACAACTCCTAGGGCTTAGTGGTGGTGAAGATGTAGTAAACATCAAGATCAGTGTCGCCGGGTGATGCATTTTCTTACTTGCAAACTACTACTACTACTAATGCTGAATGTGTGGATCCTGGCTGGTCTCCGTTGCTTTACAGATGGGTATGGCCTATCCAGAGCCTGCTTTTCGGGCCGTTCTCATGCTCTGGTCCATCATGGCGTTTGACCTTTCGTGATTTTGTATGCATATCCTCTACACTCGTCGCACAGGGTTTGCAGAAAAGGCACCATCCGTCAGTGCCCTGCAGACTGCAGTGCAGCCATTCGCGGGTCAACCCCATAATCGCCCATGGGCAAAAGTCAACACGGCGCTGTCAGTAGAGGCACTCGAGGGGGGTGGAACCGTGGAAGACAGTGACGCCCACTGCGGGTTGACACCTGCGCAATCCTACTCATGGCTCCCGGTGCTCACTTGTGAGTTGACTTGGACACTTGGTGGTGTTTTGAGAGGGTTTCATTGGGCGAAACTGGAGGAGTGTGTTATGATGCAATGCGGAGGATTAATTAGTTTAATGATGGTTGGGGCGGAGGGGGAACCCATCCGTGCTGCTGCCATGACTGCAAGACTCACCCGTCGAGCAGAGGCGAAAGTCGAAAGTCGAGCGCGTGACATATCCATCCATTCTAGCTCAGGAGTTGGGCATGACAGCATGGTTGCACTTGACTTCGTTCTCCTAGGGCTTAAGGATGATGTGGGCGATCGCATGGGACTGATCTTGACGTAACACTGACGGCGTAGCTTAGATTAGTTGCCGTTGACTCTGGTAAAGGAACGGTGGATCCCTTTGGTGCGGACGAGTGATGGGATCGGAGCTATGGAGTGGAAGTGAGGCGGGTGATTGATGCGATCGGGACTATGGAAGTGAGGCAGGCGGTGCTCATGAATCATGATGCATGAGCCCTTGGGTATTTGACGAGTTCTACGCGCTTGTGCAGCAGGGTGGTCATGTGCGTGCCATGCTGATGTTAACAATCATGTCATGGGCCTGGGCGAGTGGTGAGTGGGCGGATGGGCATGCATTAGCGTGAAGCCATGTCGGCAAAGCACGAGTGCCTGTCAGAGTGCACCGCATTCACTGATCTAATCCTGTTGCTCCTGCGAGCTGACAAGTGTCGGTTCGCCCGGTGACTTGGGTGTTCCCGACTTGTAATCTCGAAATCATTACGGGTATCCTTGCAAAGGTCACTCCCTCATCATTTTTGGTGTAATGCATGTGTGCCATTTATCTTGACCTGAGAGTTTTTATTTTTTTCGTAACAAAACGTTTTATCTCAATCATGGTCCAAATACCAAACCATTTTCACCGTTGAAAGTTGAAACTAAATCACATGTTAATGGCTTTGTCAATTTTTTTTCAGGAAAATCAGAAGGAAATAAAAATCACGGGAAACAAAAAAGTAAAAGAAAAATGAAAACCAAAAAACCAGTTCCTGCAAAATAACGAATACAGAGCTCGGACGCGCAGTTGAGGTGTTTCACTCCTTTTTTGAAGCCCAAGATGTGCTTTTCCCTTTTCTTCGCCTGCGAAAGCAAAATTGTGCTTTCATGAGAAACAAATTTATGCTTCTCGTGAAAGCATAATTTGTTTCCTGAAGAAGCAAAATTGTGCTTCTCGCAAAAGCAAATCTGCATCTCTTGTGGAAGCACACATTTCCCCTTTTTTCGAGTAGCACAAAAGCACTTTTTTTTACACAAGAAGCATAAGTGTTCTTCTCGCGGAAGCAAATCTTTTCTTCCAGAAGCAAATTTGTGCTTCTCATGGACGCACACATTTTTTCCTTTTTCGGGAAGCACAGTTGTGTTTCTCGCGAAAGCAATTCTATACAAGAAGCAAATATGTGCCTCTCGTAGAAAAACAGATTCACTTTTCTACGTGAAAAAATTCCGCGCAATTTTTTCTCTCTCCATAGTCTAGGGAAAATCAGGTAAAAACCGAAAAATAAACAAAACTAAAAATGAAAACACGTAAAAAAAATCCAAAGGTAGCGTCCAACATGCAACATGTGGCAGTGGAGGGACGCACTTCTTGGCGTGCTCACAGGCCATCAAAGTGACCCCTGGAGGTCCCTGCAAGGGGTAATCTTAGGCTCACAGGTAGAGAGAATCATACTTAGACCTTTTTTCACAAAAAAAAAGAGAATTATACTTAGACCTTTTCTAATGCATGTGTTCTTAAATGAGGTGATAAGTGCATTAAAGGATTTAACAACTAAACTTCCCATTTGCATATGTGTTTAGTTCTGGTTACTACGACTCCCTTCATTTAATTAGGTGTAGACTTATATTTGTGTTTCCACCTAGGTGCACTCTTTTAGCATCGTTTCTTTCTGAGATCACCATACTACTCTCTCTCTTTATATATATTCTTAATTAACATGCCATATCAGATTTTTGCTTAGGGCAATCTTGACACCTGTACAAGGCGAAGCGTTGGGAGGGGCTTCAAAAAATATACATAGAGAATCATGCCCAATTTATCGCGTAAGTCGACGAATAGCGATGTAGTGCGCACCCCCAATTCTTCACGCAGACATGGGCCGACCCATATTTGGAAATGTCATTGCCTTTCTCCCACCGTTTTTTGGAAGGTTTGAATCTTCAGAATTGGTTTACTTTCTTTTATATTTTTTGGGGTTCCCCTTTTTTCCCATATTAAAATTTTGGAATATTATTTTTTAAATTAGAGAACAAAATTTGAAATTTAGAAACATTTTTAATTTCAGAACTATTCTAAAATTTGGAAACATTTTTAGAAATTTACAAGAAGTTATGATTTCATTAATTTTTAGATATAGGATTATTCTATGAATTTGCCAGAATTTTAAAAAATTCAGAATATTTTCGGAATTTGTGAACATTTTTTAGTTCATGAATATTTTTGAATTTCAGGAACAAAATATTAAATTCGTAATTTGTTTTTGAATTTATGAATACTTTTTAATCAAGATCATTTTTAAAATATAGGAATATTTTTTAAAAGTTATGAACATCTTTAAATTCGTAAATATTTTTTGAAATTAGAAACATTTATGAAATTCATGCTCATTTATATGAATTCATTAACATTTTTTAAATTTGAAACCTTTTTTAAAAATTCATATATTTTTTAATTTGGGAGTATTTTAAATTTGTGATTTTTAAAAATAGGATAAAAATTGA